ATGTATTAGTATTTCCATCATATCGGAAAATACATAGACCAACGCTTAGTGTCTGAATATATATAATTTTGATAGTAACAAACAAACCTATTTAAAATGAAAAAGAGCCCCAGGGAGACACGAGATTCAGTCCGGCCAGCAAGTAGATATGTTTTCTTTGTAACCCGACCCCCAAAGTGAGTTAGGTTTCTTGCAGATGTTAACAGACCCTGGACCTGAGGAGATCTAGACGTGCTTCATTTAAGGCTTTAGCATTGCAGAGAGGGCTTGGCAGTAGGGGAAATAATGTGGTTCAGGGACTGTGAGACAGACTAAGCTGTAAGGAAAATAATGTGGTTCTGGGGCTATGAGACAGACTAGAAAATGCATGGCAACCTACACTTCATTGTGACTATGATTAAGGCATCATTTTAAAACACAAGGGTTATTTCCTTTGCGTTAACTGACAGACTTTCGGTGTCAAATTATTTGGAACTCCGGCCAAAGGTGATGTTATGCTGTCTGGAAATATGGCCATTTTGCAATGCTTTGGTTGCACATAATGATAAGTGATTGTTGTACATATGATTTTTTGAAGGATAATCTCAGCTGACTAATACTTTGCACGTGTTTCCCCCCACTCTTTCCATACCCGTAAAAGTTAATTTTCCATATATATGTCTGTAAGAAAATACTGTAAAGTAATGGGATGGCTGAATTTGGCCACCTGAGGTAGTGACCACAACACTCTGGTTATACTGCATTGAGAGAGGACAGAACTTGGCAAGATACCAATAAATATGCTTGTCATTTAAACCTTTATATGATGTTTGTGGAATGTGATTTTATAATTCAAGATGCTTCCTGCACCTGTAGCCCCAATATGGATGTTGTTAGTCTGTGAATCTTCCAAATTACTTCGTCTCTTTTTTTTCAATTGAAATTAAGATCTTTGCCTTATATCAAAATAAGTAAGAGGTGACTAACGGGATCGGGTGGTCAGTTTCACTGACTTGGTTGACACATGTCATCGGTTCCCAATTGCGCAGATCGATGCTCATGCTGTTGATCACTGGATTGTCTGGTCCAGACTCGATTATTTACAGACCGCCGCCATATAGCTGGAATATTGCTGAGTGCGGCGTAAAACTAAACTCACTCACTTACTCACTATATCAAAATAATATATTTTCAGTCTTAACGTGCCTATGTCGCGCATCAAACACCAGTTTTTGACCTGCCAGGCGAACGCTTTAACAACGAGCGTACCCCATCATTCCTTGATACTGTTAAAGAATACACATTGGTACATTTATTATGCATTCAAGATTGAACTCAGTTTTGTCAACATATATCCTTAAGTTTTTATGTTAGTGACATGATCTGCACACTGATAATTTAAAAAGAAGAATATAAATAATGATTGTTTGCGATCTTTATCCAATTTAGTTTTCCATTTATCTAGTAATTTTCAGTTTCTATTTCCTGGAAATTCTGTACGAAGGTACTTTTAACAGTTCCACCCAATAACAGTAAAGCATACAGATAATAAATTGATAGAATAATAAGTACACAGTATATTCCATGAAATTGAATTAACATAATTATATAATGTATAACAAATTAGACAGCAAAAAAGCAAAAGCGAAAAAGAAAACGCATGAGCAACATAAATGCTGGCAGGTTGTAAGATTTCAATAATTATCGAAACTGCTTAGTAATGAGCTAATTGCAATCAATACAATTTTCTATAGTCTACCCAAGAGATGGACTGACTGACTGACTGAGTTTGGTTTTACGACGCCTTTAGCAATATTCCAGCAACATCACTGGGGAGAACACCAGAAATGGGCTTTACACATTGTACCCATGTGGGGAATCGAACCCGGGTCTTCGGCGTGACGAGCCAACGCTTTAACCACTAGGCTACCGCCCGCTGCCCCAGATGGAAACAAAATAGGTCTATTGTGAAAATTATGAGCTAACTGCAATCACTGCAATTTTCTATAGTCTTATCCAAGTGATGGAAAAAAAATATGTCTACAGTATATTCCGTCGGGTAACTGAAATTTGAGAAAACGTCCGTATGGGATAATACCTGTATTCCGAATCAAAAAGAGGTCATACCAAGTATGTGCATGTTCACTCATTTACAACAGTAATTTACCCCGGAAATCATTAATACATTTTAATCATCTTTTATGAAAGTATAGATAAGGAAATTTGTTCAGTTATGATCAGTCGGATAACTCATACAAGTGAGGACTAAAATTAGGGACCTACCGGTTCATGTCTGTGTGAACACATCTGTCTGTGTTTTATTGTAATTAGCAGTGTCTCCTTGTATAGCATATATAAGAAGTGTACCTAAGGTCAGTTATATAAAGTGTTATGTAATTTCCATTACAAAAAGTATAAACGATATTACCTACTGGTCAGAAGACTTATCAGTACCCCAACGCCGACCCACCGCCACCACCCCACCCTAGGCCTACTCCATGCCACACCCTCTCCCTCGCACACATACACACACACTCCCTAACATACATTTCGCTCTGGCCCATAGACCCGATATTTGAACCTTTTAAACAGACACCATGTGTATGTCAAGAAAGACATGCACGTTATTAGTGGTGCTCAGTCATGGGTATCACTTCACCATGTGTTTCTAATTATCTCGGTACATTATGGCGTGGTCGGACGCGCTTACGAACCCTATGTGACAGTTACATTACAGAACCATTGAAATACATGTTAAAGTAGTGCTAATCATGTAACACGAAACTTACCCATTTCCAACCATTTACGCATGTACTAAATATATGACAAATCTAACCCTGGTCATACGAGATTTCAAGGGTACTGAAATGCATGTCCTACAATCACAGCATTTACATATGTTACACTTGTTAGGAATAGCATGAAAACAATGGCCAGATTTACACACCTGTGAAATACATGTAGATGCAGAGTTGAATGTTGGTTTATTTTAACACCCCTTTAAACGTGTGTAAATCTGACGTCCAGATGATACGTAGATTTCAAACGTTGTTCATATGGCCGCCGGATGAAACGAGTATTTCCTGACGTTAGTAAATTTGGATAATACAGTCATTTTGTGTGGTGATTGTATCTGCCAAAGTCAAATTTTCAGTGTGTATCTCAAAGAAGAGATGAGATCACATCAGGTGTGCGTCCCTTTCAATGTAACGACTGATAACATCAGGTGTGCGTCCCTTTCAATGTAATGAACATCAATGATGGGGAAGTAGTGCTTCCGAAAAGTTTTAATGAAAGACAAAAAATAACACATTATTGATGACTGGTGGAATTTCCCTTTTTCATTGGTACCATCTTTTCGTATTTATTTCTGTATTTGCACATTTGATTTGCGGTTGCGCGTTTTTTTTTGTATTATCCCTATTTGCTGGGGATTCTAAACAAATCAAAAAGTCGACTCTTCCTTTGGTAGATATATCTGATGATTAGTTAAAATGAGTTGACAAAATTTTCAGCTACAAAATCAATCGTCAAGCAAGACATGCTTGGCCGTGTATCTTTCGTCACAAAGGATGCAAATCAGCCATCAGACAATTCTGCCACTAGAAACCTGTTAACACCACTCAGTGGAATATACTTGTACAATAGAGTAGAATGCTTCTACGAAGACGTAAATGACCTTTACTAAATTATGTTCCAGAGATGTTCATAAATGATATCACAGGCATGAATAAACTATGTTCACTTCGAACCGTTTTATGTTTAATGCAGCTTCATCGCCATTGAGTGATATGAACCGAATGAATGAGAGATGCATACGCTGACGTTGCAAAACAGACAAAAAACACTCCGACCGTATTCTGGGTCATGTTGACCTGATCAGTTTGACTTGATCATGATAACATGGAAAATTTACAAGCAACATTAATTGGAACGAAGAGAAGTGATCAGAAGTAGTGTAATCAATTAAAAGACAAGACAGACCATCGTCTCCTAGTAGTGTAATAACAACTATACAGTATATGTTATCTGTGTGTTGGTAATGCTGTCACGGACATCACATCTTGGTTGTGATTGGAATTGTTGTCATTAACAGTGTGTCGTGATCCTATCATTGAATTAAATTTTAGTTTTTAAGCATATTTAATTAGAGGTGATGCACAAAACAGATTCAGGTACAGGCCAAACATTAATGTTGGCGTGACAGTGCGAAATTCTGCATGTGCTATCACATGGGAAAGTGCTTTGATGGGTGCTACTATGACAGCGTGTTTAGATATCAGTGGTGTTTTGACATGGATCTGTGCTCTGTTAGACTTTAGCTTTTACAGCATATTTAAGTACAACTGATACAAAAAACATCCAACTGACCTCTGATGTGTCTTAATCTTTTTCAACATTTGTTATTACAGGTGGTACAATAGCCTGCACCTCTGCCTGTCTGGTTTTAGTTTTTAGAACATATACTACCCATCAAAAGTGTAGACTGACTTAAAACACTCACTATATGTTATACATATATATATATATATATATATATATATATACGGTTACATCCAAGATGAATTTCTCCAGTAACTTAGGGGAACCAGCTGCAAACCTTATGCAGATGGATTGCACGAGGATCACGCAGCAATTTTCTGAAAAGCATGAGCAAATATTGTGCATGTGAACAGCGGCGTTCTGGTGTAAAGTTTTGTTCAGAATTTCATGATTTATTGAACTCATGATAATAATCTTTTCAACGTCATGAATTTGTTTTACAATACGCCAGTTCATGTGTAAACAGTACCTTTTAACATTATGGAATATTTAGCAAAATCTAGTTTAGAACATTTGACCGAAGTAAGTGGCTATATTTACACTAGTGTTATTACAGCTGATTTGATAACATGCGTGTGTGCACTGTCGGGTTTGTGTATTACAGTATTGACCATGTACGACACGCACATAGCATTTGGCATCTGTTTATTCTTACAGGGTACAGTTTCTGTTCATAAGAAAACCGCTGAGACTGTCTGTTAGTCGTCGAGAATCGGACTGCTGAGTCTCAGAAAGACGCTTGTTCCTGGACATGGTGTATAGCTCCAGGAGGCGAGGCCGACATACTCCCCTCCACATACTAGGGGGGCTCCACTGTCACCCTGAAAATACGCGGTCAGATCATAGTGGAGTGTCCTGTATTTGACATGCTTTCACTTCAAAATTCAACCGTAGGTGTACGTGACTTAGGCTTACAAACAATTTGTTGGGCAAGCAAATTAATACACGTTATGTGATTAAAAGTTGCCAAATCTAAAAGTAAGAACTCTCAATAAAAATGGAAAAATCAACTTCCCCGTCCACACGCCAAGTGCAGTTACAACCACCGCACGACCTTAGTTCTGTCAGGGTTGTGTAATTCCTGATGTGTTTAACTCTGTGCTTTCTAAATCTGTGTCATTTACCCGTCAACATCTACTGCATTTCCTCCGGTTGGGTATGAGTTGAGTTGAGTTGAGTTCGGTTTTGCGTCACATCGGCATTATTCCAGTCATATAGTGACGAGAACAAGTTTGCATTAATAAACATTGTAAGTACATACTCGGAATGAGTTGTATTTCCAAAAACATTTATTCATTACATTGTCATTTAAAAGCAGAAAAAGTAATAGCACTAAATTTAAAGGCAGGCAATTTGTTAGTCACATTACACAGTTACAAATTTATGATAGTCACATTTCACAGTTACAATTTATGATAGTCACATTTCACAATTACAATTTATGATACAGATCAACTTCCCTCAGGTAGTTCACTATCAGATGAGCGCTCACGCGGGAGAACAGATCTTTCAGATTTGTTGCATCATAATGTGAGTCCCTTGCAGACGATAAGTCCACGCAGTCAAGCAGAATATGCTTGATGGTGAAAACATCATCTCAAGAGACACACATGGGAGGTCCATCCCCATCCGTTTTCAGCAGATAGTCATGAGTTAACCGACTGTGGCCAATACGACATCGTCGTAAAATTACCTCATCTCGTCTTGAGTGACAACCCAAGTAGGTATAACCAATTGTTGGTTTCAATTCATACAGTTTATTTCTTCCTACTTGAGTGTCCCATCGTTTTTGCATGAGGTCCCGAGTATAGCTTTTGATAGTGGGTTTAAAATCACTGTACGGTTGGGTATGAACGTGAGTCAAACTGCTCACGTCACACCTGGATACGATATATGTGGTGTTTGGGTACTATGTGCACTGTGTGTGTGATTTCAAATCACAATCAAATCTTTTTTTCAAAATCTTTACGGCACTGTTTTTCTGGGAAATGATCCCATAGCACCGAATGTGTACTTAATTTGTAGATATGTTAGTGTGTGAAGCCTCTCGACTGAATGCTTACTGCTGTGATGGAGTGACCGTCGATACAGATCTCTTCCGTCTCAGTGATCATTGCGCCAGATCCAGACAGTCGCTGTATACACTCTGCCGTGCTGATGACAGTGACGCTTTTCTCCATCAACACTGGAAACAAAAACGTTATATAATATCTAATAATGATGGACAATGTAGTTTTTGAACATGTACGCTATATACACATATGGGAGATAACTCCAGCAGCCTTATGTGACGGTAGCTGCAAACCGATTTCAGTTGCGCAGCTTGGGGACCCTTGCATGTGACCTCTACTTCCGTAGTAAACACTTAACGTTGGAAGTCATGGCGCTGTGTGTTATGTTCAGCTACGGTGTTAGAAGTGTATTGGATTCAAATCCACAACTGACATGTTATTGAGTGTTTGTGGTTTTGCACTCGAAACGAATTCTATTCTTGTGCTCTGTTGGTGAGGTGCATGGTATGAGTGCTTAACTTCCTGGAAAACAATATTCAGGTTGATGCTTCTTTTAGAATTGTATATACGCCCACATGTACGTCATTCAAAGAATATTCTAATATTATATTCCTTTACCGTTTGTAATCTCATTATATTTGTATATTTTAGATATATGGCTAACATTGCCTACAACAGCTGACGGGATGGTACAGGTCCTGCTAGGGAACCGTGCAAGAAGCAGAAGTATTGTAAGTCCCCTTGTATAGAGGCCTAACTTTGTTTCCTGTCGACCTCTTGCCCCTGTGATAGTTTATTTTTTTATATGCTCACAAACTAGTTGAAATATGTGATAATCTAGTTGTTATGCTGTCCTTCGTAGGCAGCTTTTTATAAAGTAAGATTTATTCTTAATTTATGAATTTCTGGCGTCACCATATGGCTGAAATTTTGACAGTTTAGAAAATGCGTACCGCTGCCTTCTCCGAAGCCCACGATGATGCATTGTTGGCCAGTTAGGTTCAATGCGGTTAAGTTAGATAGGATGATGTCCTGCGCGCCATGAGCGGTGATGTTGCTGTTGAGCACTGTTAACTCCGTGTAGTCAAGCCTGTAACCTGGGCCATTCTGGGTGAAAGATCCAATCTGTGAACACATTTCAATATTGTTAATCACATATTATAAAACGTGTATCAAACGATAGATACATTACACAGTTTACAGCGTTCAATGTACCAGCGAGGTATAGAGCACCCTCTCGTACAGCTGTAGATATGTTTAAAGAAGAACATGTCTGTGTCATCTGATAAGAGGCTAGCACATTTTAGTGAGTGTTTTGTCAGTTTTGACAAGGCAAAGAGGCCAATGATAGAGACGTCTGTTCTTGTACAAATTGCAAAAAGGTGCTAAACGAAGAAGAGACGTATATTTACCACATAGATTGATGATATCGATGTTATCTGCGCCGGTGGCGAGAGATCCGTCAGATCTACAGTATCGAATACAACCCTGAAGGTACTGGCGTCACTACATCAAGAAAAAGAAGTCACATTACAACGACAAAACCCTTTACAGATCGTACGACATTTCAGCTAATGGAAGAGTCAATGCCTCCATTCTGTCTATATAGATGTGTTTATTATCACTATTAAAAAGTGCTGATCACACTGATTGAGTCAACTGTGTCCTTGAAAGAAGGAAGAACACGGGAACTCATGGTGAGTCAAAAGACAGACTCGCATGGTAAATAATTCCTGTGAAAAACCAAACCGTTTACAATAAGAATCAGGCATGTCAGAATTCTAGTATTCTCCCGCCAAAATGTAAACAGATCAAGAAAAGGATCCATGAAAGTGCCAGCCAAATCGTAACTGGAAAGAGAGAGTTTCTACAATTCCCGCCTTAACAACAACAGACACAAAGTCAGTCTTCAAATTCACTAAATGTAGATGCTCATTGGAAAACCACATGCACACTACACAAATATCTAAGGATTGGCTAATGATTCCGTAGAACGTGGCAATAATGATTCGGTGAGTTGCCACAATATCTGCTTTACATGTATAACATTTTGTCACCTTCCATTCGTGCAGACTCTTGCACACAATACCTGCACATACAGTAATGATTCGGTACGTTGCCACAATATCTGCTTTGCATATGGACCATTTTGTCACTTTCCATTCGTGCAGGCCCTTGCACACTATATCTGCATATACAATAATGATTCGTTTAGTTGTCACAATATCTGCTTTACATGTATAACATTTTGTCACCTTCCATTCGTGCAGACTCTTGAACACAATACCTGCATATACAGTAATGATTCGGTGAGTTGCCACAGTATCTGCTTTGCATATGGACCATTTTGTCACTTTCCATTCGTGCAGACCCTTGCACACTATATCTGCATATACAATAATGATTCGTTTAGTTGCCACAATATCTGCTTTACATGTATAACATTTTGTCACCTTCCATTCGTGCAGACTCTTGCACACAATACCTGCATATACAGTAATGATTCGGTGAGTTGCCACAGTATCTGCTTTGCATATGGACCATTTTGTCACTTTCCATTCGTGCAGACTCTTGCACACAATATCTGCATATACAATAATGATTCGTTTAGTTGCCACAATATCTGCTTTACATGTATAACATTTTGTCACCTTCCATTCGTGCAGACTCTTGCACACAATACCTGCATGTACAGTAATGATTCGGTGAGTTGCCACAATATCTGCTTTGCATATGGACCATTTTGTCACTTTCCATTCGTGCAGACTCTTGCACACAATATCTGCATATACAATAATGATTCGTTTAGTTGCCGCAATATCTGCTTTGCATATGGACCATTTTGTCACCTTCCATTTGTGCAGACTCTTGCACACAATATCTGCATATACAGTAATGATTCGTTTAGTTGTCACAATATCTGCTTTGCATATGCACAATTTTTGTCACTTTCCATTCGTTCAGACTCTTGCACACAATACCTGCATATACAGTATTGATTCGGTGAGTTGCCACAATATCTGCTTTGCATATGGACCATTTTGTCACTTTCCATTCGTGCAGAATCTTGCACACAATATCTGCATATACAATAATGATTCGTTTAGTTGCCGCAATATCTGCTTTGCATATGGACCATTTTGTCACCTTCCATTCGTGCAGTGTCCTGCAGACACAAACAAGGACGAGGCTCTTCTGGTAACACCACATATGTGTGTCCACGCGCCGTCAAGGAACTGCTGCAGGCTTCCAACATACGCATAATTCCCCGACACAACATTGGAACCTCCTATGACTCGCTTCTCAATCTCTGTGGTGGCATATGTTGCTGAAAGGTGCAAGGTCATCATGAGTTGTGAAGGCTTCGTGGAATGTGCACGTTCATCAGTGGATGTTTCCATGTTTACGTTGTGACTTCATCATCGTCAGTGAGTGAGTTAAACATCAGCACTATATCAGCCATGTCGTGACTACGAAAGCTACATATTAATACAAGCTGTCTTGAATGCCTGTCAATAAAAAAACTAACTACAATAACAAAGATTTAGATCTAAAACTACCAAGTAACCATAAAATGATATTCACTAAACAACACGATTAATTTAGAATAAAAATGAACACACTAAAAACAAAGACAGAATACCCGACCAGTTTACATAGCCTTCGTATTTTTTCTAATGAAACATTGCTAGGTCACAATTTATATATCAGGCAATTCTCTTCAGTAAGGGCACATGGAAACAATTCATTAGGGAACTGAACTTTGGTATGCATGATTATTTTCAGCAACCACTAGGAAAATTCTTGGATTTTCTAAAGAAGAAGAAAATGAAATCAGTTCCAGTTAAAGTTCAAATTCGAATTTGTGATTTTTGAACTGTTTGCCATCTACCTATTCCAATTGGTAATCTGTGGTTTGAGGTTCTTATGCTCACTATAAATTTGTCTGAATTACATTGTAGCTGTAACAAGTATTCGTCAGTTTGTTTCTAAACATAACATAATATTACCCTTTTGACGATTCCTTTCCTATTTCGTTCCATTTTGGACTGAAATTCAAGAAATATTTGGAATGTGCTATCAAAAATGTATTACCTGACAAGACAGCTAGGAGAACAAGTATCAAACACGCCATTCTTCTGTTGTGTGGGGGACGCTGAACAGTCAAGTGATTTAAACAATTGTTGTTATTGATTCCGACTATACTGGACCTATGGGCTCACGAGCACCTGTCCCAGGGTACGTGTAGCAGAGGTCAGACATGTGATCCAGGTGTTAACACTATTTCAATCAGTCCTTGCTGATTAAATTATGTATCATTACCTACAGATCGCATGTTGATAAGAAAAATTCATTATTCCGTGCTGGATTATGTCTGTATACACATTATAAAAGTCAATTAAAAGCGAAATTTTCGAGTGAGTGAGTTAATGTTTATCGTCATATCAGCAATATTTCAGCCATATCGTGACGAGGACAAGTAATTATCATATCAAATATCATTTAAATTAGAATTTAAAAGCCTGCTAAACTACTAGTGTGTTACGGAGATTAGAGTGAAACTAACATGCTATCATAAAACGATATTAATATAGAGAACAATACAATATATATATCGGCTTTGGATCGTGAACAACTGAAGGTAGATCACCACATTAAGGACCATGGGGTCTTACAGCACATTTACGACCTGGATGCTCCCCAGCTGGACTTAACATCCAACCTTGTGGTTTGGCCGATTAGTTAGCAAATTAACCATACATTAAAGGAAGAAATATTCTGCTATTAAAATTCGGAGTATGAAAAACACTTTGGCAAGATTACAGAATACCGGATACCTATCCACCATTTTTATTTTGTTTGCGGAGTACCCCCCTTTATTTAAAAGCCTTACCTACCTTACCTTACCAATAAAAAAACACTTACCATCAGAGTGTTCCCACACTTTAGAGTTCCTTTTCCCAGCATGCATTTGAATAAAATTTCAACACACGACTACTTTTTACTCTGTTTACGTCAGTGAACGCTGTTAAAATCCCCAGTTTAGGTTTCCTAAACCGGAAGTAAGTCGAGGAATTCGATTTTAACCTTATTTTTTACCTTAAATTCGTAGTTTTATTGGATCGCTCGCGAGGTCGCGCTCTCTGTTTCTTCTGTATATAGGAGCCTAACGCGCACAATATAATGTATATAATTAGGTATCCGGTATTCTGTAAGTGTACCTAATCTTAGATGAGTGCAGTGACCACATCTTTGGGGGTCGTAGGGAAGCCTAGTGGTTAAGTTCGTTTTTCAAGCCGAAATCCCAGTTCCGATTCCCTTATAATGCGTGAAGCCCTTTCCTGGTGTCATTCGCCGTGATATTACTAGAATACTGCCAGTGAACAATACTAAACTGTCCGTAGGCCGATGGAGAGGATTTCAGCTTAGATAATCTGAAACTGATTCACAGACACACCTTTTCAAAACAGCCATACTCTATCAATCAAGTATTCAGTTAGCATCCTATCTGGCTGTTTACGTGAATTCTAAATGTGTATTGGCTTCATGACTTGTGACAGTTGCTGTTCCCGCTCTCTACCTGGTCCCATCCTATTATGTGCTGTAAATTACATGTTGCTATTGTTAATTTACTGCTTGCCACGCATGTCGGTTGCCCCCCTCCCGCTCAGTAGCATAATTGTATAATGGATGACAAATCAGACAGGGCAAAATCAAAATTGAAAAGGTTTCATCACTATAAATGCTATCAGGTCGCAAACTTTGAATTTACTGGATTTCTTTCTGTGTTCATTTGCGGTGTAGCAATAACACACACAATGCTCTATCAAGGAAAGTTTGGAGAGAAAATGAATTAAAGTGGATCTTGTCCTTGACAGTATAGAGGTTAACACAAGGAGACGTTTGACAATTTGTTTTGATAGAATAATATTGACTTAAGATGTTGTAAAGCGTCTAATATGTACGAAGCTATTCATACATGTGCATGGGCTGTCATTCTTGATTTGGCGGTTTTCAAGAAGGCAGACAAAATTACGTAGACCATTAATTCTGTAAATCATCTGGCAACCCGCAGTTGGTAGTGTTTGTTTCCAGCCGTTGTTTTAATTTGTAAATGAAAACCGTACTGATGCCAATTCCACGCCATACACCAATCATCTCTCAAGAGCGATTGCTGTACAAACAACTATAGTCATAAGGAAGTGCAAGTGGTGATGCACTATTAAAACATTCATTATTATCAGATCAACATTGATTGACTCCGATTTATCTCCCATTTATTGTCAATCGTAAATTAAAAAGTTAATTTTTTAAAGAGTACATTATACTATTTCATTATATCGTCTCTTACATAAGAACCAAATATATGGTTAATAGGCAACTAGTGTAGGAGTCTGCGTGTTACATAGCAGTGACTCAAGTTAAGACACCTGTTGGTTGTCTTCGTGTAAACTATATTGAAATAAATATAATCTATGAATAAGAACCAAACACGTCAACAATATCTATTCGAACTTTTATTGATATTATAAGCGAGCAATCAGCCGTAGCGTGCGGCCGTGCTGTGCAAGCTCTGGCAGCTTGCCTCATAACGATTATGAATCTCGTAGTGCAATTTTGTTTATCTACAGTGTGCTTTACAAATATATTTGAACTGTTCAAATCCCATGGACTTATATCGAGATATATATTGCATTATTTGGAATATCCCCCGATTGGACTTCTACAACATCATCGAGAAGGTAAAATCTTGTTATAATTTACCTAGTATGTACTGATTCACGCTATGGCTGACTCCCCTACGCACCACACACAGAAACCCAAAAGTATTGACTATGACATACTGTATGAATTAGATGATGTATTTGGTGGAACTGACAAGATCTCTTGCGAAAATGAGCTTATGCAGAAGTATGTGAATGGTGAAAATGAACTTAACAACATTAGATTCACTTTGTACGATATTGCGAAACATGACAATGCTGATTCTACCATGGCTACGTGAAATGCTAGAATTTGATTGGTCAAGCCATAAAATCAGACGGTATCAATTTGGATTGAAAATGCGTCTGATTTCACGGCGCTTCACTGCGCACGTATACAATACTGCCGCACTACTTCAGCTTGACCACCAACATGACTAATATCAACACAACAGACGTGACTGAAATGCAGATGAAACATTTATTAAAACTCAAAAAATACAATTATACGATTTCTCCTCCACAATTATTAGGGGACCTCACTATCATAATTAATACCTTCTTCTATTATAAAAATATTCAAACTCAATTACAATACACAGCCCCAAACATAAACAAACAATATCTAACATATAAATCAGAAAACCTTGTAAAAATATATCCCTATCTATCCCTATTTGTGCGGCAAAACGTTCGTAAACATTTACCTACCTGGTAATTGGTATATTTGTTGCCGTTTAGAATGGGAAATTCGCAAGACAATGGTCAGGCGAAACACAAAATTTGCCACTCATACTCCATCATGTCCCGTTGCATCGTTCAAAATGTCAAAAGCTGAACCATGGAAATTCAGTTCTCTGCCACCTTCCCCGAAGGCTGTCACTGCTATGTTCGTACACTTTGAAAAGCTTGGCCACAATCCAGTCCCAAATGATGAGAACAATGTTCCAAGGAATCCCAAGTTAGTCACATGTACACAAAGCTGCACTGTCACTCTTCCTCGCATGCCGGGGTGGAGGCACGTACGTGAAATCATGATCGACACTGGCCGGTCATAAAAATCAACAGTCTTTGATGAGTTACAGGTTATAGGTCGATCAGAAAAGGATCTATTCTTCGATTCTGCAGGGTTCAGGTTCGACAGTCAGTCAAGTATTTTCCACTGTCACTTCGAATTTCAACCTTTCGCAAAATGTAAACACTGGCTCGTCCGCCATTTCAAACTGTTGCGTAACTGTCTACTTCCAAGAAAATAAGTAGGTCAGACGATTCCATTATACTGTGGCCAGGGGGGTACAGTAATACGGCACACAAAACAATAGGCTGGTTTCTGTCTTGTGGAGTTATGATTATAAAAACCAAGCTCTTAGGTGTTACAGTATTGCATTGAATAAACAGTAGTTTGTTTTCTTTGGACAGAATATTTTTTATGTTGCAATGTTAAAAAAAATACGAACGGAACCTACCACACCTTTATCAGACGAGTTCAATTCGCCTCTCATCCCATGCCAGATTACGCAGGACGAGGAAGTTCGATGTTAAATCGGTCATGGTAGAATGGAGATAAACATACTGTGTTTGGAAATTAGATGAATGTTAGACCGAATTGATAGTCTCTAAATTTTATTTGAAGCCGAACGCGTAGCAGCTTCAAATAAAATTTAGAGACTATCAATTCGGTCTAACATTCATCTAATTTCCAAACACAGTACGTTTATCTCCGGAACCCTTTATCAGCTGTTCGAGTATTAGAACGAGTCTCTATGGTTCCAACTCTCCCTGAGACAATATGATATGTTAGAAGTACCCCAAAGATATTTCAGCAAAAAGGTACAAGGCTTACCTAAGCATACCCCTTCTCATATCGCCCCGGACAGCCTACACCTTTCCACAATACAATCTTACATTGGGCGTCAATCATTCCTATTCACGGGCAAACTCTGCAGGGTGAGTAGTAAATACTACTTCAAACGTGTCTTCATTGGTCGATTTGGTATAAATGTGACCTTAACAACGATAATCGATGCTTCTGCTCACCCGCATTCAACATATTCAGACTTATACAAAAATACAGTCTTGAAACGGAGGTCAGGGACTACTTCCATGTTTGTAACCCTCTCAGCAAGCCTCAGTGGAATCAGCTGGTCACAGGTAGAGTTAAAAGCCTCGACATATCTACTCGAATGCACGGAATAGCAAGCAGATTAGATCTGTCCAGATACATGACTGTACGACATGAGAATACTAATATATTGAGAGATACGATTGTGAAGAGTGTTAAAGACTATGTGGAGAAGGCAAATCTTGACCAGAAGTGAGTGAGTGAGTGAGTTATTATTTAACGTCACATCGGCAATATTTCAGCCATATCGTGACGAGAACATTTGATATTGAAAAAAGAATATATATATATAGACATTATAAAAACCTG